AGAAAAAAACAGAGGATGTTCTACCGAACTGTTGAAAACAAGAGCAGATGAAAAGCAGCAATACTTTGAAAAGCAAAAAACACGGCGAAAAATGTACTTCTCACATTCTTCCAGTATTGTAGCTATAACGGAAAAAGGACTTCTCTAAGTGCGGGTTTGACTAAAGACGAACTATCTGGTTTGAAAAGCGGCCTTTAGGCCAAGTTTTAGGGTAAACCAGTGTCGTAAAAATGCCCTAGTTTTCTAAATTCAAAATTGAAAGTCCAGTAAGAAAAAACCATAGAATGCAGTAAGCCGTGTAGAGACAAAATATTAAAAGAATTCACCTCATTGCGATCTAGCACTGAGACTTGGTTCATGGTCACACTGCCTTCTGGAGAATCGCAAACCACATATTGCAACGAATTCAGCGTTCGTACAGGACGACATGACACCACGCGTCCAACACATATTACCTTGATTTCACGAGTAGGTAAAAAGACTAAATGTAGATAGATGGGGGCGTAAATTACCGTTGGAAATTCCTTGTTCCCAATCCGAACCGTTTCACCTTCCTTGGCTTTGGCACGAATAAAGCTAATAGTAACTGGCAAGGGTAGCCGATCTACTCGAACAGTTTTTGGTGAAGGAGATGTCATGCAGAGAGGGAATCTCTACAGAAAAAATCTTCGAAAAGTCATTTCTCGATCACTCAGTAACAACTATCACGTACTCGCTTTTCGTGTAAGCGATACTAGCAGTAAGGTGACTGGCAATGAAAAATCAGAAAACAGATGCTTCAAAATTTATTCATATCCCTTGTGAATAATGCAGTTGAAACGTAGAATATATCATACCCTTGACATGTATCACCATATAATCTGGCCAGTGACTCTATTGAAAAGAGAATTTGGGACAATCCACTGATGAGATTCGAAGAATCGGGAAGCCAGAGAAAGACGCCTATGTTAATTAATAATTGTAGCAATGGCGGCGCCACGGAAGTCTCATTACGCAACTCAGCATGAACTTAGGCTATTGTAGCGAAAACTGACATCAACAAGAGCGCTTCAGCAGCATATAGACAAGTGTAGTAAATTAACGGATAGAAACTCGATGGTGCTTTACTTTTATTATGACTGTGAGAATATCACTGTGTGGCTCACTCGATTCCAACTCCTTCCTCGCCTCAAGATAAGTTACTACTCCACTTTCTGAGTGATGTGAATGGTAAAAAAGAATAGATCAGAAAACGAAACGGAGACCTGTCCCAGTTCATTTCTTTAATAAACTTTATACTAGGCATTGCTAGGTTAACTAGCTGCAGCACCCCCCTGCATGTCCAACACCTTTTGTTTGATGTCTACTTCCTTTTATTATCCTCTACTGTTGTAAATTTTTGTAAAGAACTTTATGTGATGGTAACTTCCGCGACGCTGCGATTACTCTAACACCAGCCCAAAGATTAAAATTGCAGATAAGCAAAAAACATTCACGTTGTCAAACAAACGAAGAATGATAGCCATACTTATTCACGAAGTCACTCATCATCATCAGAACTTTCGCTTAGATTCAGACCGAGGTCTCCGTGATCGGTTTTCGGTGGAGGTGGCCTGGAGAGAAAGCAAGATCAGTTTAAAAAAAAGAACATATAACCAATGCAGTCAAACTACTCAGAACTTAATCGAAAAAAAAGATATTTTTGCTTAAAAAAGGGGTATTCTGCTTAATCATACACTTGGAAAATATGTGGCAGTTTGACAAAAAAAACCAAAATGTGGATACAAGGTTACATAGGAAAAAATAAGTCACTGACTTGAAATCAGTGTTTGAGTTTATGATTACCTGGACTGATAGCTGTTCTGTTGGACAGGCTGTGGAGGTGGAGGCTGCGCAATTGAATCCAACGCCGGCATATCAATGCTCTCGTTGAATGGAGCTGGTGCTGGTCCGCTAGCTTTCATACTTTCCAGTATCTGACCTGAAACAAATGTAAATACGAATGCACACAAAAAAGGAAAGAAAAAAGACACACTTTCAACGTCACTGTTTGCTGAGCTCGAATTAGAGTC